CTTGTAGGAGGTGCTGAGGAGGGCGATGGGGCGGTAATTGTTGGGGTCCGCCATTGTGCCGCGCTTGTGAATCTCGGCCACGACGGCTGTTGACCATTCTTCCGGTACTAGACCTGTGAGCAGTGCGTCGTTGAAGAGGTCAAGTAGCGGCTGCCGATTGGCTGGGGTGAGCCACTTTAAAGCCTCTGCTGGAATTTGGTCAGGGCCTGGAGCTTTGTGTGAGGCCATGCCTTTGAGGATGGCGTTGAGTTCCTCCATCGTGATGGGTTCCATGTTGACTGGACTTGCGTCTGTGAGTGGGTGGGTGGGACCCGTGTAGTCCGTGGTTGGTGGGGCCCACTGAACTTCTGACAGGTGTTTTGCAAAGGTGTCGGCCTGCTTGCTGTAGCTGGTAGGCTTGCCGTTGGAGTCGTGCAAGGTGACCGTGCGGGGCCTGTAATCCGAGCGGATGCGCTTTATCCAGCGCCACTTGTCCCGAGCGTCCATTGTCGCTTCGCTCTCCTGAAGGCGGTCCTTGAGCCACTGCTGCTTGTCCTTGCGGGCCTGTGAGCGGATGGTCTTATGTAATGCGCGCTCAGTGTCCGAGTCCTGGCTCTGGCGAGCGGCTGTGCGCTGTTCTATGAGCTCCCACGTCTGCTGGCTAATCCAAGGGTGCTTAGGTTTGCTGTCCTGTGTGGGGATGTGCTTCTCCATGGACTGCAAAATGGAGTCCTTGATCGATTGCCATTGCTGGTCCAGCCTCTGCTGTTCGGTATTCGACTGTGAAGGCTGGGGGGAGGCGTCCTCCGCTTCGGCCTCGGGTGGGGCAGGCTCCTCGAAGGCTGGCTGTTGCTGAAGGGTTTCCGTGAAGTGTTTGTTGAAAGAGAGTATGGACTCTGCGTCTGGGCGTCTGGTCGGCTTGGGGGTGGGAGTTGCTCTCTTGTGGCAAGCTGTGTGTAGGGAGAGCGTGACTCTGGTGAGAAAGTGGTTGCTGTTGATGGCAGCGTTCGGGAGGGTGTGCACGTCAGTGACCATATTCTTCTAGGCGAACTTGGTGATGGCGTGGTCCAGCTGAACCAGATCACCATTCGGACGCTGGTGTGTCATCCGGTGTTTCTCGGCTTTGTCCATCCACGTCTGAGGGAAACACAGGTCGTGACTGACCGACATCTCGAACAGCTGCGCGTGGTTTGATAGAGAATCATCCTCGCCAGCCTGTGAGGCTAAGGTCTCATCTGCCACATTCGCTCCAAAGTGGGCGTGTGGCCCGACACTGCCGCGATTGGACGAAAGTTCGTCGAGCAGCTGCGCATTGAAGTCGCCTACCAGTAGAAGGGGTTCGCTGGCGGGGTGGCTGTGAAGGATGTCCCCTAGTGACTGCCAAAAGGAGTCACGGACTGGCTGCTCACGTTGGTTGTGAGGAGCGTACACCACCTGGACTGTGAGAGGAGCTTCGGCTGTGTCAATCTTGAAGGAGAGGAAACGGCCGTCGGTGGCAACGATGTCCAGGATGCAAGGTGTGAGCCGCGGGGAGGTGATCAGGGACACCCCCGTGAAGGTCTGTACCTGGTTGCCCTTTGCATCCAACTTGTCATCGGCGCTGTGGGTGACAGTGTATCCATCGATCATGAAGCGGTCCTGTTGTTTCACGTGGGTCTCTGTGAGGGCCAGCCAGTCTAGGCCGTGCTTCTGCATGATCTTGATCAAGGTGTGAAGCTTGCCGGCTTCCAGAAGGCCCGTGGTGTTCCAGAATCCGCCCTTCAGTTGCACTTTGGAGCGCAACTGTGTGGAGTGCCTCTGTCTTCCGTGTTCTTGAGGGCTGCGGCAATGAGTCTTGAACCAGTGCGCTCTGGTGTGCTGCTTGTTCTGAACATCGTGGGCCTCTTCCCAAGAGTCGCGGCCGCTGCTCAGCTGAGGCTGTGAGGGGGGAGTGGGGTTGGGCGGAGAGGGGAGAGAGGCGGGGAGGGTGTCCGCTGTGAGGGGGACCGTGGTGGAGGAGCCTTCCGTCGGGGAGGCCGGCGGGCCAAAATGGCCAATTGGTGGGGTGGCAGGCTCCGGTGTTCGAAGCCTCAAATGGTTGGGGGTGGAGCGGTTCTGCGGGGGGTGTTTCTTCACTCTCATATCTGGAGCTTTGGCCAAAAGGCGGTGGAAACGTCTGCAAGAGCGAAACTGCGGGCTTCGACCCTTAAGGGAAGCCCTGGTGGAAACAGGCTGTAAGCCGCCCGGGGTTGGGGCAGTCGGCGTGGGGCCGTATGAAGGCTTTTGTTTGTTGATCCTAGCTCTGGAGCCCAAACCACAACTAGGGGTTGGAGAGGTGGATAGAGCGTTCCTCCAAGCTCTGTATTCCCGCCTGCTGCGAGATCTGGTGGTGATGCGGCGGCGTGCTCGCCGCTGCCGTGCTGTTTGTGACCTGAGGTGGCGGTGGTACTGTGCTCGGGTCTGTGAGAAGGGGGGTGTCCGGGGAGTGGTGTGGGGTCTGTGGGGCACTTCGTCGCCGAAAGGCACACTAGAACAACTCTCAGAGCAACCTGGAAAAGCGAAACTGTGAGGTAAAGATGGACTAGAGTTACAATAGTGGCTCGGTGGCAACTTGCACGGGTCCCGGGGGGGTCGGTGATTAAGCCCCGGGCTCGTGCTGCACGTGGGTTTTCAGTGATGTTCCGGTCCAGAGGGGCTCGGTGTTGAACGCAGCAAAATTGAGCGTGTGTTTTTCAGACGGCCTTGATATGTGATGGACAGGATGAGGACTACGACGACGGATTGCATTCAAACAGGACTAGGGACTGGACCATTTTCATGCCCACCCTAACGTTTGCGTCAAAATTTGAACTGCAGGCGGAAATTCAAGTTTTGAGCCGCATTGGCCCGTGATGTGTCGTCCGTTGGCTTGTTCCATGTTATCAGCGCATCATTGCATCATCAGGATTCATCAGGAAATTGTAGTCGTCGCACAGACAGATGTTTCGACAGCGAATTCGCGCTATCGCGTGCCCTTCCGTGCCAACACTCAAAAAACACCCTTAATCCCCAACGGCAGCAACAGCAGGCTCCTTTTTGAGGAGATCAACAGTTGAGGCAGTTGAGGTTTATGGATTCGTCAAGGGCCAGGGCTCATGGGTTTTTAATTAGAATTGCGGGTGGTTTGTTACCACCTGTACCTGTCACCTGCTCCTGTTTCTGCTGCAATGGAGCCAAACCCTAAACTCGAAGCCTAAAAACCCTAGCCCTAATCGCCCCAATCTCACTAAATCCTGGACCCTGATCAGCCCTGATTCCTAAGCCCTACAAACCTCATACCTAAAACCTTAAATTGCCCTAAACCCTGATCTCCAAACCCTAAACCGTGATCCCTAAACCTAAACCCCATACCCTAAACCCTGATCCCTGAACTCTAAACTCGAAACCCTGCCTTCGGCCGCACAAAACCTTAATTACCGAGAGGGGTCCGGTAATTAAGCCCTGCGCTTGGATCCGGTCTAATTCCCGAGGTCCATCCTTAATTACCGCGGTCCTGTCCTTAATTACCGGGGTCCGGCCTTAATTACCGGACCCCGGCCTTAATTACCGACCCCCCCTCGGTAATTAAGGTTTGGACCGGCCTTAATTACCGGCGTCCGGGCTTAATTACCGACCCCCCCTCGGTAATTAAGGTTATGGAAGCATGTTTTGGTGCATTTTCGAGCGCTGACCCCGTCAAAATGAGGGGGTCAGCGCTCGAAAATGCACCAAAACATGCTTCCAAAACCTTAATTACCGAGGGGGGGTCGGTAATTAAGCCCGGACCCCGGTAATTAAGGCCGGTCCAAAACCTTAATTACCGAGGGGGGGTCGGTAATTAAGGCCGGGGTCCGGTAATTAAGGCCGGACCCCGCTAATTAAGGACAGGCTTGCAACATAGACCATTTGCGATGTATGTCGGGTCAATCAGCTTGCTAGGCACGAGTTTTAGCAGTTCTTGTTGTTTTTTTTTGGTTTTGTCCTGACCCGACCTGCCTGCCCCCTCCAGGGTTGTGGTTGCCCCATGGCTGCCTTGAGCCTACTGACTGGCACTTGTTTAGAACCCAGAATCCGAATAACCGACATAACCGCATACCTGTATACTATATCCACCTAGTCACCTAGTCTCCACACACTTGCCACTATCCCACTGGAGGCCCAAACTTTGCCCTAAGCGGCCTTAAGCTGCGAAATCTCAGTTTGAAAGCTTCACAAGCTGCAGCCTGGATCCTGCATCCTGAGTACGTCTACGCCTGCGCAAGTTGTGAGATTCCGACGGTGACCCCTAAACCCCTAAGCCTGAGGCCTAAGCCCTAAGGCCATGAATCTCCAAACCTTTAAACATGAGGCTCATGGCGCTGGGGAAAAAAGACGGCCGACAAGAACTTTTTACGGTTTGAGCAGGCTTGAGGCTTAAGGGTTCGGCTTACAGTGTTTAGGGCCCAGGCCCCTAGGCTTAAGTTTAGTTTGGGAGGCCCCTAAAGCTTTAAACCCTAAACTAAGCCCTCCCTGAGGCTTCAACTGGATAGAACCGATTGCAAAACATCAGACACCTTGTCGTGCGTGGGCAACGGCATAAACCACAGCCTAAGGTGGAAAATGTAGATGGACCCCACGAGGCAAAAACATTGAAATCAAACGTTTCTTTCGTGGTGGCAAGGGCAGCACCAGCAACCACTCGCAGCTCGTTTGGAAGCAGTTTTGTGGGTCGTTTTCGGTCGCAATGACGGCAGTGTGCTTTGTACGGTCATGTGCATACAACCCACCCTCGGTAACCGAAATGTGCTTATTCCCGGGGTCCTGGGCTTAATTACCGGACCCACCCGGGACCCGTGCAAGTTGCCATGGCTCGGCGCACCCAGCTCGCCTTTAGGTGGCGTGCCAGAACGGTTCAACTTGTTTTTGCCCAGCTGTGTGGTACGGTCTGGGTCTGCTATGGTACAAGAGGCAGCAGCCTGTGAAAAATGCAGTCGCACAGCCGCTGCGGAAGATTGCAAGGAAGAGAGGGCGCGCTTGCCGAACCATCACTGTGAGCCAGTCGAGCGGCGCTTGATGCACCAGGACTCCCAAGCCTCCTGTGGGTAGTCGGTTGGGACCCCACCGTGGTTGATGTGGGCGATCTTTGCCTCTTCAACCGCTTTCTCCAGTTCTGCCTGTGAGCTGAACGGGTAGTAGCTCGGCCTGGCCTTGGTCTGCTGTGGAGGATTCATCGCGGTGCTCGGGATGCTGGCCGAGCTGATGCCACTGACCGCTGAGGCTGCATCACTGTGAGTGCGCTTCATTTGGGAGGCCACGTCGATCATTGCCCCCACGCCTCCACTCTCGGGGTCCACTGTGAAGGCTGCCTCCTGCTCCTGGGCTGCCATCTCTTCCATGAGCTCCTCGGTGGACCGAAGGCCTGTGAAGTGGGTCCTCTCGTCGGCGTCGGCGGGGACTTGGACAAACTTCACCGGCCACGGGAACTCATACCGGAACCGGGCGATCCAGTGGTCTAGACCTTCATCCTCGCCCTCGTTGTACTCCGGAATGGCCTTGGTCAGGAACCTGCTAAGTCGCTTGGCCTCAGCATAGTTGTGTGCTGTGAGGCGAGCTGCGCTGTCGAAGGCTTCCTGCTCGACCGTAGTCTTGTTGACCTGCTGTCGCAACTGGTCATACCAGATGCTTCGCCAGGTCTCCAAGAGCTTTGTGGCATGCTCCTCTGGGATGTGGATCTCGCACTCCCAGTCTGTGAGGGTGCCTGTGGAGGTCGTCTGTGAAGGACCCCCGCGGCGGTACACGATGCGGCCCAGCCAAACCTCTTTGGAGTCAACCAAGGCCAGCGTCTTCCACCTCGGAACCAATGGCTCTTTGGTGAACTTGCTGAAGGCCGCCCGGTAAGCGTTCATGAGTCCCTGGAGCGGCGAAGCAAGCCTGCGTTCAAACTGTGTGACTCCAGGGGAGAGCTTTACCGGGCCGCCGCCCTTGTACTCAAAGGTCTGGGCTGGCTCTTTTGAGCCGGCTGCCTGTGAGGAATCCGCCGTGTTCTTCTCGGCCGTTTCTTCGGAGCCGTCCTTCGCCTCGTCGGGCTCCTTGGGGTCTTCCCCTGTCCCTGGCTTTTCCTGGTGGAAGTACCAAGGGTATACCCTGTCCGCTACCTCCAGGATCCGCTTCCGGACCGTGAGGGAAGGGACTGTGAGGATGGAGGTGGCAGAGAGCTCCGGCTTGCCGGGCGTGCCCGTGTCCAGCCGAGTTGTGGCCAGGTCCCACATTCCATCGATATTCCACAGCCCAGCTTTCGCAAGGGCCTTTTCCACTGTGAGGCGGCGGTCTGCCTCCGTCTGCCAAGTGGGGAAGTTTCGGCATACGATGGTGCGCTTTGCCTGCTCGATCTGTGAGAAGAGCATGTCCTTCTCCGCCCATGCGGTGCGGATGCGAAGGGCCCGGACCTGCTGCTCCAGGTTACCCACTCGCTCGTTCGTCCTCACCTGTGAGGTGGGCAAGGACGAGTATACTGCTCCGAGAGCTGGGGCGACCTTCTGCTGCATCGCCATCTGCACTAACTCCATGCACTGTCCGACTGTTGCCGGGGCGTTGAGGTCTACCCCCTGGGCTAGCGGAACTGTGAAGGACTGTGGCTGCAGCTGAGTCGGAATTAGCACAGCAGCCGAAGACTGTGGGGCATCCATGCGTGCTTCCATCTGACTCATGCGTGCAGTAAGGTCTTGATGCTGCTCTTCACGCCGTGCTCCTTGCAGCTTCACTTGTTCTAGCTGAGCAGCCACTTCTGCCAGCAAGGTGGACATTTTGTCCAGCTGGTCTCCCTGGCCCGCCATGGCTTCAAGGAAAGAGGAGGGAGTGACCTGTGAAGCTTGAACCGCTCGTGAGCTTCCCAAGTCACACTAGGAATTCCTAACATAGGAGCCCGAAGCCCTAAACCCTACGTTCCACTGTACCTCTGCTTGCGTCCACGTGTCGAGTTTCTCTGCCAATTGCATCTCGCCGACTAAATGTAGGGGCTTAAATAATTACCTATACTATTTTGGGGGTTCCTTACGTATTGTAATTCTAGTATAATATACACCCCAAAACCCTATTCGAATTATTCAGGCCCTACATTACACTTGCAGCTTCAAGCGCGGAACCCCAATCCGACACATATTGGAGGGATGTTTCGCCCGGTACTTGCGCGAGGTATGGCGGACAGAACCTCGAGTACAAGGCACGCCGCAGACCTGCCTTGTAGAAACTCTTTTTCAGACCCTAAAAGAAGCCTTTAGGAAGGCTAAACCAGGTAGGCAGTTGAGATTCTACACCTCTTAATGCTAAGCGTGAAACATCTAAGACTTGAAAAGAGGCCAGAGCGTAATTTGGGAACCTGATGAAGAAACCCTGGGCCGATAAACCCCAAATAGTAGGATTCATAGAAGGAACCCTAGTAAAGGCCAAGGTTTCTTAATCAGGTTCCTACATCAACCCCCCAAAAACCCTTATAGTACCCTGATAGTACCCTAAACGAACCCTTATAGAACCCTAAGAAAGGCCCAAGGTTTCTTAATCAGGTTCCTACATTAACCCCCAACCTCCAGAGCTCTCGGAAGCAGAGCCCTAACAAGCTCCAACTGAGCAAAAAAGCTCCAACTTAGCCCCAAGCTAAACTCCAAAAGCCGGATAAAAGCCCTCGCGCAGGCCGACCACCCCTCTAATATAGAGGCCTTTATAATTAGAAAAGGGTTTTCGGGCCCAGTATACTATAAGTCTATAAGTATATCAAGGAACCTCCAAATATTAGGCTTCTATTAAGGCCCCTAGATTATAGAACTAAGCTCCAGAACTGCAGCTTTGATCCTTCAAGCAAGCTCCAGAACCTGAAGCCCCCGATTCTGAACAGCATGCCTCACGTGCCATGGTCCCCACTGATCACCCAAACTCCAAACTCAAACCCTTAGAGGTAGCGAGGGATGTCAAGCTTGACATTTGGCCTTGCTCATGAGCGCCTGCTTGTTAGCTTGCTCGGGGTTGCCAGGTTTCGAACTCATCCATGCATATCGGTCCGTGAACTTCAGAATTAGATAGGACCCAGGTTTTGTTGAAGCTGTGGAGCTACACTCTTAACCCTAAACCCTAAACCCCTAAACCCTAAACCCTAAACCCTAAACCCCTAAACCCTAAACCCTAAACCCTAAACCCTAAACCCTAAACCCCTAAACCCTAAACCCTAAACCCTAAACCCCTAAACCCCTAAACCCTAAACCCTCAACCCCTTAGTCCGCCGGCAGCCCGAAGCTAAGATCTGAGTGCCACGTAGGCGCTTTGCGAGACAGAGTGCTTCGACTGCTTGCGGGGCTGCTGGATGCAAGGCACTCCTAGGGCTTTAGGCGAAGCATGGTTTAGGGGTTTAGGGTTTAGGGTTTAGGGTTTAGGGGTTTAGGGTTTAGGGTTTAGGGTCTTGTAAAGGGCTGCTTTCTCTTTACATCGTGCCGCAGTGCTAGGGTATTCATCCGTGAACGAGTAGGGGAGGATCTGTGTAGGTTTGGCGTTGGGCTGAAGGTGCAGGTTATACGGCCCCATATTCATATCCACAGCACGAGACCTAAACAATGTAGAACAGCGTAGTATAGGGGCCTTAATAATTATCTATACTATTTTGGTTGTTCTGTATTATAAGTATGGTACAATGTCCCCCAAAACCCTATTCTAACTATCAAAGCCCCTGTAGTATAGAACCCTACCATAGATCCCTTATAGGCCCCTTCAAGGATTCCTTTAAAGGCGCCCTATTCTAATTATGGCCCCTATATCATTATCCCCAGATCCTCAGCCTCCTCAAGAGGAAGTTCCTTCAATTCTGAGGTCGGAGCCCTAAAACCGCATCCCGGATCACCCGAAATCCCAAAGACTACACCCTAAAGACCTCTTTCAGAACACTTGTTAGGGTTTAGGGTTTAGGGCAAGACACCCCAAACCCCAAAGCTTCTAGGATTCCTTTGCAGGTTCCTTTGAAACGGGTCCTTCAAGGGGTCTATAAGAGGGGATTTTGTAGGAGGGGCCCTAATCATACCCCAAAGACCTCTCCTTCAGAACCCTTGTAAGACACCCTGAACCCCAAAGCCGACACCCGGAAGGGAGGTTTTGCAGAACCCTTAATGATCTTAATCCTTTGGGTATGCCGTACACCAACCACAGACTCCGAACATGCGTAAGCTCGAAACATTTTCAATCGCCTCCAACCATATAGCATCCATACTACCGTCGTCATCCGGAAACGCCCGCTCCTGCATTCCCCAAGATCCGAAACCCCTACGTAAATCAGCCTAACATCCTAAAGCACTAAGCACCGCAGCACAAGCCCAAGCCCTAAATCGGCAGAGAATCCTACTGCCCCAAAAGCTTCATCCCAACACCGGAAAGTTAAAGACACTTGAAGCCCTCGACTTGAAGCCCCTTAGCACAAAACGCAAGCTTTAAACACCATAAACCTACAAGAGCCTTCAGCCCGAAACCCTAAAACCAAAAACCAAAAAAGACTCAAAGCCCAAACGCCTCGCAGCCGGAAATCCGACAACAACCCTTTACCCCTTCATTGAATCTTCGGGGACCTTCATAGTATCCCCCCTATGCTCACCCATGTAGTAACCCTAAACCAGAAAACCTCCACCCCAGACCCTAAACCCCGTTGTGATCCTTCATGGTATTTCCGAAGTAACCCTGAAACCTAAACCCTAAACCCTAAACCCTCAATCCTAAACCCTAAACCTTAAACCCTAAACCCTGAAACCTAGACTCCGAAGCCCCAGGCCCAGATTTGAATGTGCCCCGCCGGAACTGCGCCTCTGCGGAGCTGGGTGGGCGCATCTATGCCACTGGAACTGCGAGTTTTCAGGGTCTACAGCTGAAGCCTAAAAGTTAAGGAGGGGCCCTGAATGGGTACCCTATAATGGGCGATATAATGGGTATATAATAGCTATATTAAGGGTATATACCTAGGGGTCCTTATTACAGTAGAAGCCCAAAAGTTGGAAACCTTATAGCTTCAATCCTCAAGAGCAATGTAAAGTGAATCCCAGCACTATTTGGCCTTAATCTGGTTTCCAACTTTATGGGGTTTACTGTATGGGTGTAGGGTGTACCAGTTTCAGGGCTTTCGTTTGTAGATGTTTAACGAACTCAAACAGGCTGCAGGGGTTTAGGGCTTTGTAGTTGTTTAGCATCAGGTGCATGGGTTTTGGGCTTTACTGTAGTAGTTTTGTTGAAGCAAGGGTTGTGCAAGGGTCCAGAAGTCCTCATCTTCAACACTCCTTGCCCTAAGCCACAAGCCCGTAAATGGGAGTTTCCGAGAATCAGGGGTACCATATTTTGGGGTCCTTAAAAAGAAGGATCGTCCTATATTAGGGTCTCCTATTTTCGCTAACTCCCCAATCAAAACACCAATCCGGAAGCCTTAACCGTGAAGTCTAAACCATTACTCGTTGATCGTCTACGTCGAGGGGCCCTTCGTTTCTCACGAGGGCCGAGGACAGAGCGCAAAAGGCCGGGTGTTGGTGTCAGGGTTTAGGGTCTAGGACGCTGCTCGTGCAGGTTTTGCAGGAGCAGAGTGTTGCTCAACGGGTTGCTGTAACGGTTCCTACAAGGGTTCTAGCAGGTGTGGGGAATAGCGGATTTATCTTCAGCAGTGTTGCAGGCCAGGCAAGGATTGATACTGAAACCCCAAACACTGAACCCTAAACTCCCCTCCCAGAAATCCTCAAAACCAGGCCCGAAGTCCGAACAGCCCGGAGCCTGAACCGTAGACGCCCCGAGCCGTGGCGATTGAAATCATGGCGGCAGCCTTAAGCCACCAAGCAACCAGCTTCGAAACCGGACATTCAATGGATGCTTCAGGCTTCAAGACCAGGGATACGTGGGTTTTGTGCTGTGGATTCAGCATACTAGGCTATGGCAGTTCCAAAATTGAGGCGGGTTGAACCCTAAACCCTAAATCCTAAACCTGAGGCCATTGGTGGTTTCGACGGCTCCCAGATCTTGAACCACGTCGAGGATGGCTCTTATGCAAGCCGAACGATGATAAGCCCGTAGCCTCCCTAAACCCCAAACCCGCAACCCAAACCTTCAGATCAAAAACTTCGAACCCTAACGTCTGACGAAGCCTTAGTGAACCCTGCTAAAGCCTCAAACCTGAACCCCTGGCGAAGTCTTCGTGAACCCTATAAAGCTTCAGACTCTAACCCATGACGAAGCCTTAGTGAAACCACCTTATAAAGCCTTCCGTGGTCTGACTCATTCCTGTTCAGAGGCTGGCGCTGCTGCCGTGTAGTAACTTGCTTTTGCTGGAAGAGAGACACCTGAGACCCTAAACCCTAAATCGTTACAGCTCAGAACCCTAAACCGTTGAAGCCCTAATTTCTGAAGCCTCAGCCGTGAAGCCTTCCAGGAGACTCCAACATCCCTTAGTTAAGGAATTTACCTTAACTTATAGTAGCAGTCCTACTATGATGTAAGGTGTATTCCTTACTTAACGGATGTTGGAGTCTCTGGGTTATTTGAGGCCTAAACCCTAAACCCCTACACCCTAAACCCTAAACCCTAAACCCTAAACCCTAAACTCAGGACTGTAGGACGAGGGCCCCAGGACCCCAGATCCTCCTCTGTACCTCTCGGAAAGGCGAGGTCCCAACTGCTCCTTTTCGGGTTTAGGGTTTAGGGGTTTAGGGGGTTTAGGGTTTAGGGGTTTAGGCTTTGGGGTTTAGGGGTTTAGGGCTTAGGCCTCAAATAACTTACTCTTTGAGCGACTTACATAGGGAAACCACGATGAGGATCCCTAGAAAGGTGCGTTTTGTGTGAGTGGAGGTTTCGGATTTCGGCAACCTTTGGAAATCAGGGTATAGGGGTTTAGGGGTTCAGGGGTTTAGCGGTTTAGGGGGGGTTTTAGGGGATTGGAGTTTGGGACTTTGAGGTTTCGGGTTGATCGAGGTAGGACTGGGTGAAAGTCATGAGCCTGCATTTGCCTGCCGCCGAAAGCATCACAGGGTGCGATCGAGTCCTATTGGGGCCTAAATTTGAAAGACGGCCTGTAGACCGTTAGCTATGTGGGAGCTTCGTCTGCAAGGGACCCTGATATATAGTATATAGAACCTGCATAATTCAGGACCCCGGTGCCACCTAGAAATTCCCACATCGCTGTTTGTGATCGTGATGTTGTGTGAAGATGCGAGGCTGCACGTATCAACGTCAATCCTAGGCCCTCTGCCCTAGAAGCCATGGGCTGCGGCGGTGGGAAAGCCGTGGCTGCGATGGAGGCTCCAGGCCAGAGCGAGGCCAGGGAGCGAGAACTGGATAGGTCCTGATAAGATATCGTCCAAAAAAATACCTACATTATTCCTAGGGTTGCTTATTACAGTTATAGTATAATATGCCCCGAAACCTGATTCTAATTGTTAAGGCCCCTATATAAGGCCCTGAGAGGGCAGGGAGAGGGCCAGGAGGGGCCTCGGAGCTGGGAGGAGCCTTGGGAAAACGACCTGAAGGTCTAGGTCCCACCTTAACCTACCAAAACCTAGGTTTTCGTAGGTTCTTATTATAAACCCCAGTACAGATTTTATAAGGACCCTGCGCGAAAGTAGGTTTTGGAGGGTTAAGGTAGGGTTTCAAGGTGAAGCCCTCAAGGCACTGACCCTGTGAGCCTGACCACCGAAAGCCTGCAACCGAAGATCCCGGAAGCCTTGAGTGAAACCGCGAAGCCCAGCGACCCTGGACTGGGTTCTTGTTAAAGGGGTTTAATTTAAGTTACTATAATAAAGAAACCGTATTATGTACCATAGATCCCTATTCTGGTACGTTAAATTAGATCCCTTAACAAGAACCCAGTAAAGGCAAGACAACCCTCATCTCCTGTCAAGGCGGTGGCTGGCAAATCCTACAGGTCCTACAGAACGAAACGTTTTTCCGATAAGGCTCCGATACCGGCCGAGGCTGATAATGCGTGCTTCGGGGTCCTACGGTAGCACCAGTCATCTTCAGGGATCTCAGAAGGCAGCTGTAGCTTCTACTTCAGGGCCCCTTGTTTTCTGAAGCTCGCATCATTTTTGGAAATGATGTCCATGAGAATGAGCTCTATGCATGTAGACATACCTTGGGACCCCTTAAGGTTTCCTTTTCTGAATCCTTTAAGGGTTCCTTTAAGGGATCCTTGAAAGGGTCCTTTGAGGTCTCCTCTAAGGGTTCCTTTAAAGGGCTGCAGGGCTTGCACCGGTTCCCTTTTTCAGATCCAGCACCGTTGACTTTCGAGGGATTTCAAGGCCGGATCGTTGGTGTTCGGGTGTGGGTGGGGTGTAGGGTTTAAGGTTCTGGTTTGGGTTTGGTGGCGTGGGCTGAGAGGCAGGAGTATCGGTATAAGGCTCAGGGTGCGAACCTGCGAGCTGTTGGGGATTTCGTTTGCATGGCTATGCTCAACCCCCGAAGCCTGAAGAACCCTTGTACTGTAGACCCTTGAAAGAGCCTTCTTCGACTCTTAGTCAGGGCCTTACGTAACCATAGACCTCCAGACCCTCCAAACCCCCGGCCGAATCAGGATCAGGGTTTTCAACCTGGGTTTGTGCAGGGTTTAGGGTGTAGAGCACGGGGGTTATGGTTTGGGGTGGTGCTGGGTTTAGGGTTGAGGGTATTTGGGATACGTGGTACGGGGTGTAGGGGTTTGAAATACAGTGCAAGGCTTAGGGTACAGGGGTTCAAGGTTTTGGGGTATGAGCTATATACCCTTAACCCTAAACCTCTTTTGCATAGGTTGTTTTAATTTTCAAGGTTGATGACCTTTGCGGCCCATGTCCAAATATTCGTGGCTGATGGCTTTTGCCTTGAGCCACGAAGTGTGGCCGTAGCTGGTAGCCTAGTCCTCATGCTTTGAGAAGGCCAAGGTCCTGATGGCTGGTTTTTGGGGTTTAGGGTCCGCTCGAACCGTAAACACAACTTTACTGAACCCCGAACTTATCAAACCCTTGTTATTGAGTTTAATATAATTTAGATTAAGTTGCCACAATAAGGAATCCGTATTATGTACTATAGATCCCTATGACGGTAACTTAAAACAAATGCCCTAACAAGAACCCAGTAGACCAACGGCAGGCTGAGGAAGACATGAGGACCCTCTTGGCTGGAATGGATGATCCTGGGTTCTTGTTAAGGAACTTAGTTTAAGTTACCATGATAAGGATCTGTAAGGGTTCCTTCAAGGGATCTATAATCTGTAAGGGGTTCTTTTGAGGGCTAAGGGTTTAATGTTCAAATTGCCTTAATAAGGAAACCATACTGTTGTCTATCGATCCCTACTACGGTAAATACATTCTATTCCTTACCCAGACCCCGCCGGAAGGATCTAAAAAGTAGATCCCCTACTTTGGGGCCTTATGCTACTAAGGGTACTTTGTAGGAACTTTCCATTAAGGGATCTACCATTTTAGATCCTCCGGGTAACAAGAGCCCAGGATTTGGACGACTGGGTGGCAAAGATGAAAGACTCAGGCTGGGATCCGAGCACTTCTCCCTAAACCCTAAACCCTAAACCCCAAGGCTTGGGATTGCGAAAAACGGTGGGTTCTCTGCGTTTTGGGAGGGCTTAGGGTTCCAGATTAGGGCTTAGGTCTTAGGGTTGCGAAGCATGGGCTTTGGGGGTTTAGGGTTCAGGGGCTAAGGGCTTAGGGTTTAGGGTTAAGGGTTTAGGGTTTAGGGTTAAGGGTTAAACATAGGGTTCTATGGGCTTTGGGGGGTTTAGGGTTCCGGATTTCGACCTAGGGTTGCGGCCTAGTGTTGGAGGTTCAGCTTTCATCCGCCGGATCACGTTTCTAGACCGGATTTTCCAGGTGTTGGAGAGCGGGTTTAGGGTTTAGGGTTTGGGGCTTTCGGCTTCGGGGTGAAGGGTTTAAGGGTTTCTCCGGGGCTACAAATTCCTTCTCTCTCTCGGTTAACTCTGGAAGCTTCTCAAAACACTAAACTCAACACGCCAAGCTATATATGTATTATGTATCTATGTATATGCATATATATATACACACATGATATTGTACATACATGTGACAATGTGAGCCCTGAAAACTGAACCCTGAACTGAAAATTTATCTTGTCAGGCTTTGGCAGGGCGCCGAACATCTCCCGATCGTGGGAGTCTGCTGACCAGCTGCACGCAAACTTTCGCGACTTCTGCAGCTTGCCGTGTTCGGCTCTAGTGTTTTGCTTGTCAGTGGCACATGCTGTATGTGCGCAGATGTTGTGATTAAGGTCTGATGTCATTCAGCCGGGTTTTGAATCAGCCGGGATTTGAACATGTTGTGTATGCTTGTGAAGCCCGCACTCCTCATTCTTTGTATGGGGCTGGGCATAGATGGAGATGATGGTAGTGGTGGTATATCAGACTAGGCTGACGCCAGCAGCAGTACCAGCAAAGATACGAAGCAGCCAGTGATTGTGTTTCAGGCAAATATGGGAGAGTGGAGGCCGTGTCCCAGCTCGTCAATGGCTCAGCAAAGGAGTTCTGGTGCCTCTTCGGCTCCCAAAAGTTCAATGAGACGGGCCTGGTGCTGGCATCCAAATACGGGCATCATGAGGTTGTGAGGGTTTTGGTGGCAGCAGGTTCGGAGATTAACTATCCGGCGAATGGTGGGGCAGCTCTTCACTGGGCCTGCAAGTCCTTCTCGCAGAAGAATTACGCGGCCATGGAGCCGCAGCAGGTGGCCACCGTGCAGTTCCTGCTGGGGGAAGGTGCCCACATGAGGCTCCCAGGTGCGAAACCGGATGAAACTTAGTGGACTTTAGAAATAATTTTTGCTATCTGGTTTTTAAAATGCCTAAGAAATAGCTAAAATTCAGATTCTTGCTGGGGGTCTAAGTTCGGTATAGGAAATCTACGACGCCTTGAACATGGCCACCCAACGCGGCAGCGTTCCCATGGTCATGCTGCTGAAGGCAGCCGGAGCCGAGGCAGCGAGTTCTGAAAAGACGGGTCCTCGAAGTGCCTGGAGCACACCCAAACCCTAAACCCTAAACCCCGAAGCCCGAAACCCTAAGTTTGGTTTGATGTAGGAACCTGATTAAGAAACCCTGGGCCTATAAGCCCCAAAATAGTTGGAATCATATAAGGAACCCTCATAGAGGCCCCATGGTTTCTTCATCAGGTTCCCCCATTAGGGTGCCTCCTTTTTGGCTCGAATTTCCCGAGGTCTCCGAAAGCACCGAGGCGGCAGCAAAGAAGTGGGGGGGCGCCGTTTCCCGGGCTCTTCTCGCTGAGGAGAAGGTTGCTGTGCCCTATGTGGCACCCTCATACTGGACACATCAGTCAGAGGACTGGGTTTTCGGGGGGGGGTCGGGGTGGTAACATGTTGTACCATGTTCGCATAAATCCTAAACCCTAAAGATCTCGCAAAGTGCGAAACGTTTCGTGCTTATATAACCACGAACTCAGGATCTTGGCAAGACAATTCATGCCCTGAACCCCAACCCTAAACCCCAAACCCTAAACCCTAACAACCCAAGCCCTAACAACCCCTAAACCCCTGAAACCTTGTCGGTCCTCCAGCTCCCAACTCCTCCCTGCCTGCCGGTTTTGCGACTCCTCCTCATCCCCGCCTCCTGGTGCGAAGGATCTCCCAGGTTCCTGAGTAGTGCCCTGAAAAGAGCTCCTCAAAGGGCTCCTGAACGGGTTCTACAAGGGATATGGGGGTTTAAGGTCTACTAAAGGGAACTCCAGAAAGTTGGAATTTGGTTTCATGGTAGGATACCCTATAATTTACCATAAAGGGGTTAGGATAATCATATTCCAACTTTTTGGCTTTTATCTTAGGTTCCTGTGTAGTGTCCTGTTGCCCCTTTTATTTTGGGGTCTTGTTTTAAACCAAATAATTGGCAAAAGGGTACCCTCGGGATCCGGGGATAGCCGCTTGCGATATTGCGCTGCCCACAGGACCTGACCACTTTCGAGCAGATGCTGGGACAAAGTTGGAGTCGTTGTCATTTGTGCCTTCCTTTACCTAAACCCTTCAAAAGACCCAGGGCTTAAACTCAAACCCTTAAAGCCCGAACCCTCGAATTCCCCCGAAGAAAGGGTAACCCCTAAACCCTACAAGTCCGAAAGCCCGAACTCCAAGCCCCAACAGCCCCAAGCCCGAACCCCAAACCCTTCAATTCCCATGTAATCTAATCTCCAAGCGTTGAAAACTCCAAGCCTTAGAAGCCCCCGTAGCTTGAATCAGAAGGCTTAGAAACTCAAAGCCTTAAAAGGCCTACACAGAAACCCCCTAAACCCAAAACCCTAAACCCTAAACCCTAGGAGTTCAAAAAAGAGCCCTAAACTTCCTAAACCCTCCAAAAGCCTCCACACAGGATTGCCGAAGGGTCGGAGGTGGAGGGCAAGTTGCAAGAGGCACTGGCCAAAACCTTCAAGGCCGTGCGCACCAGGGACCGCACCACGGGAGCCGGGCTCGGTGGTTTTGGTAGGCTTTAGGGTTACCCATAATAAGGAATATACCATAACTCCCATAGTTTAGGGTCCTTAAGGTAATGCAGGATTTATATCATCAACAGTAGGGTTTAGGTGACGGTTTAGGGGTCTAGGGTTTAGGTTAGGTGATGAAGGCCGTCGACCTCCCCGTTCAAAATCCTCAAAACCCCGTCAAAGTGGTACATGGGTGGTTGTCAAAATTAGGGTCCCTTTTTGGGTCCGAAATTTAGTACGGCACCTATTATTTAGGGTACCCAAAAAGGGACCTAAATTTTGACAACTGCCCATAGAGTAGGAGGAGGAGGAGCAGCAGGAGGAGAACGAGGAGTCATGGTAGGCAAGAAGAAGTCCCGAGTTGTAGACATTCCCCAACTTCGCCAATCACCAAGCCGGCGAATCCTTGCAAAGACCCGGCAGCAGCCTAGAAAGCTGCGCAACGCCAGGTATCGCTCTAGAACAATGACAAGAGAACTGGGAACACAACTGACAAAATCTCTTGACATGGATTCCAAACCGAAACCCTAAACCCTAAACCCTAATCAAGGCTTCCAACTTTGTTCAGCCACACATGTTCATCTGAAGGCTTGCTGAAGCCTTGCCAAGCCGTCTAAAGCCGAACAACTCCCCCCAAAAAGACTCGCTGAAATCACTTTCTCCAGACCTTCTGCACCGCTGTGAAACTTTGTAGACATCCTGCAAAAATGTCAAGAGCCATTTGAGAGAGAGAGCCCCAAAATCCTAAACCCCAAGCCCAAAACCCTAAACCCAAAACCCTAGGCCCGAAGCCTTAAACTTAAACCCTACCCTGGCAGGACCGCAGCGGCGCGGTGCCCAAAGGCCTCCGGCTGCGGCGCGCGATGCGGATCGAGAACACCGGCCTCTGGGCTCGGGCCTTAGAGGGCGGCTTGCGGGTTTATGATACCCTAAGGGTACTACGGGGCTCAGGGCTTAGGGTTTAGGCTCCCATATTGGTACCAGGGGTTCAGGGTTTAGGGTTTAGGCTCCCATAAGAGTACTAAGGGCTCAGGGTTCAGGGTTTTGGAGGGCTGTTTGCGGGTTTACGATCCCCTTAAAGTACTATGGGGTTCTTTCCCGGGTTCCCGTCAAGGGTACTGGCTGCTTTTGCCATGAAATCTAACGGGTCGAAACCATGGCCGTTAGGGGTTTGAGTTTGAGGGTTCAGGGTTGAGACGGGGTTAGGGCTTTCGGGGTTGAAGGGTTTTGGACTTACAGGATTGTTCTGGGACTTGAAAAGAGATGTACAACAGGAATCATTGGGCCCGTATCGGGGCCATAGCCTTGTGCCAGGGGCCTTAGGGTTCAGTTAGGGTTTAGGGTTCAGGGTGTAGGGTTTAGGGTTTAGGGTTAAGGGTTTAGGGTTAAGGTTTTGGGTTTGGAGTCATCGAGACCAGTATTGCTGATATCATGGCTGTGGCGAGTACAATATCCCTAAACCCCAAACCCCAACATAGAATCCCTAGACCCCATTTTAAGCCCTAAACTCTCATATAATAACCCTAAACCCAAACCCTAGACCCTAATATATAACATCCCCAAGCCCCATTTTGAACCCTAAACCATAAATATAAAAAAAAACTAAACCCCAAACCGTAAACCCTAAACTCTAGTCTCTTATTCTTCACATCCACAAGCCCTGTTTTGAACCCTAAACCCTAATTGTAGTATCCTTAAACCCCAAACCCCAAAACCCTAAACCCTGACAGCTGTGGGTTTCGCCAACCTTAACTGGGAAAACGCGCTCAAAAAAACCTAAACCCTAAACCCCAAGCCCGAAATATAGTATCCCCAAACCCCAAACCCTAAACCCTAATTATAGTATCCCCAAACCCCTAAGCCCCTTGACCCCAAACCCTGAACCCTAAAACCTACATAAACCCTATAGATCCCTTGTAGAACCCTTATGGATCCCTTTAAAGATACCCCAAACCCTAAGCCGCATAGGCTCGCTACCTCAATGCGACTGCCGCCTTGGAGAAAAGGCGGCCCGATGGCTGCACTCCTATCCAGGAGTGGTGCCGAGAGCCTCTGAGGGGGTTTAGGGTTTAGGGGTATCTTTAAAGGGATCCATAAGGGTTCTATAAAGGATCTATAGGGTTTATGTAGATTTTAGGGTTCAGGGTTTGGGGTTTAGGGGTTTGGGGGTTGGGGGTTGGGGTTTAGAGGTTTAGGGTTTAGGGGGTTTCCCTTGAAGGATCCTCTAAGGGTCGTATTAAGGGAGCTAAATGGGAACTTCAAGGGGTCCTTTAAGGGTTCTATTGAGGGATCTACAAGAGGACTATGAGGGCTCCTTTAAGGGTTCTAGTAAGGGAGCTACCGGGAACTATACCGGGTCCTTTAAGGGTGCTATTAATTACGGGATGTCAGTATAAGGGGTCCTTTAAGGGTCTATTACAGGATCTGAAAGGGGACTGTACGGCGTCTTTCAAGGGTTCTAGTAAGGGAGCTACAAGGGAACTATAAGCGGTCCTTTTGAGGGTTTTAGTAAGGGAGCTACAAGGGACTATGAGGGGTCCTTTGAGGGTTCTAGTAAGGGAGCTACAACGGGACCATAAGGGGTCCTTTCAGGGGTTCTATTAAAGGATCTACAATGTTACCAGGGAGCTATAAGGGGTCCTTTGGACCTGTTGGGAGGTTGCCATTGTGGCTGAATTTCAGCTTCAGGCTTTAGGCGGTAAGGGTTCATGGCTTTAGAGTCAGTAATGGGCGATGCCCTCAACCCCGAACCCTAAGCCTGAAACCCTGAACCCTAAACCCTACAGATCCCTTAAAGAACCCTTATGGATCCCTTTAAAGGACCCCCTAAGATCCCTTTAAGGGAAACCCTAACCCCTAAGAAGCTTCGAACCCTTAAGAAAAAGGCCCGAAGCTATGAAGTTCTACGGGCAGGGCTTGGAAGTAGCGCAGCGCGAATCGAGGGCGAGGAGGCGAAATTCGGAGCCCCAAAGCCCGAAAGCTCGCCTAAGAATCCGCATCCTTTAGCCTCAGACCTGGAGTCGTATTCAGGGTTTGGGCTTTAGGGTTTAGGGCCTAGGGTTTGGTCTTTAGGATTTAAGGCCTAGGGTTTGGGCTTTCGGATTTAAGGCCTGGGGTTTGGGCTTTAGGATTTAGGGCCTAGGGTTTGCTCTTTAGGGTTTAGGCCCTGGAGAGGATCTGGATGGAGATCCTGAGACCGGCCACGTTCGTACCTCCACGTCCCTGGGTGATCTCGCAGGCTCTCGATTCAGTGAATCGGGTTTTTTGTTGTTGTGGTGGTGTGTTTCAAGGCCTTCCAGGAGGCTTCCTACAAACTCTTCATCAAGTTTTCTGGGTTTCAGGTTAAAGAATCCCTTTGTAGAAGTCTTACGGAAATCCAACGAATCCCCACGACACCCTTGAAAGCATCCTCATCGAACCCATATAAGACCCTTAAAGCGAAACCCTTTCTAGAACCATTAAGGGTCCCAGGAACCCCTTTAAATACTCCGGTATGGAACTTTTTAAAGAACCCCTTCAGGGTACTATGGGGTTCTATAGCTCTTTTTAAGGGATAGCAAGGTTCCCTTCAAGGGTACCATCCCTTCAAAGGCACAGAGGCCTCCCAGGTTTTGTACTGGAAGGTCGGCTGAAGACAAACATCGCGGAGCTTTACCTCTTCCACGGGACCAGCCCTGTGGGGGCCACTGGGCAGCTGTCTTTGCTTGTTTTTTTTTTTGGGGGGGGAGGCTGAGGGGGCGGACGGTCGGTGGTTGTTTTGATAGGGTTTTTAGAGACGGCTTCAGAAGGGGCGATAGTTTTATGATACGGTGATTACTGAAGTACGAGGGCCCAGTTGGTGTTGTTCGGCTTCACGAGTTTTTCCATGGGGGTCTGAAGAAGGTTACCTTGTAGACCCTAAACACTAAACCCTAAGCTCTAAGCCCCTGAACCCTTAACCCCTAAACCTTGAACTCTAATCCGTAAACTCTAAGCAGACTTCCGGGCTAATGTAGGAACCTGATTAAGAAACCCTGGTCCGATAATCTCAAAATCGTAGGATTCATATAAGGAGCCCTTGTAAAGGCCCAAGGTTTCTTAATCAGGTTCCTACATCAAACCCCCCAAACCCTTATAGTACCCTTATAGTACCCTTTAAAGGAACCCCTGTAGATCCCTCTAGGGGAACCCCTATAACCCATCTGGGGTCCCGACCTCTCAGTGATCGGCTAAGGCGAAAGCCATTTCGGAGCAAGGCTTTCGTCGCATCCTGGCAGGCGTGAATGCTGGCACGGCGTTTCTGGGTTCTTGTTAAGCGGTTTAATCTAAGTTACCGTAGTAAGGAGACCATATTCTCTTTTACTTTTGATGATCCCTGTTCTGATAATTTAATTTAAACAAAGTCCTGAACAAAAATCCAGGTTTGGGCGTGGCTGCTACTTTGCGGAGGCGTCTTCGAAGTCGGATGAGTATGCGCAGGCTGACGGCGACGGGCACTTCGTGATGCTTCTCTGCAGGGTGGTTTGCGGAGAGATGTTCCGCATCACCGAGACTGGGTTCTTGTTCAGGAACTTAACTTAGGTTGGCATAAGAAGACAATCACAGTCGTGTAACTTAGATTAAGTTGCTCAAAAAGCCCTTACAAAGCAAGAATCACCCTAAACCCTAAACCCTAAACCCTAATCCATAGAAGGAGCTGGGCCCTGAACCCCAAACCCTGAAACCCTGAAACCCTAAACAGCCCTAAACCCCGGGAGCCCAAAAGAGCCCAGGAGAGGGACCCTCTTGGGCTCTCCGATGCACTGCACAGCGGCCGCTACGACTCTGTGCCTGGGTTGTTTTTCAGGGATTTAGTTTAAGTGGGAGTTTCCGAAATTGGGGGTTATAAGGATCGTACTATCTAGGGTGCCATATTAGGGTCCCTTATTTTCAGAAACCCCCAAGTTACCACAATAAAGAAACCGTATTCTTTGCTGTAGATCCCTTTTGGAGCCCTTGAAAGGAACCCTTTAAAGGGAGCCCTATCCTAACTGTCAAGGCCCCTGTATGAAACCATAACTTAAACGGCTTAAGCCTTAAACCCTAAACCCTTAAAGGAACCCTTAAAGGAACCCTTGAAGGAACCCTTGAAGGAACCCTTGAAGGAACCCTTAAAGGAACCCTTAAAGGAACCCTTAAAGGAACCCTTAAAGGAACCTTTAGAGGAACCCTTAAAGGAACCCTTAAAGGAACCCTTAAAGGAACCCTTAAAGGAACCCTTAAAGGAACCCTTAAAGGAACCCTTAAAGGAACCCTTAAGGGAACACTTAAAGAAACCCTTAAAGGAACCCTTAAAGGAACCCTTAGAGGAACCCTTAAAGGAACCCTTAAAGGAACCCTTAAAGGAACCCTTAAAGGAACCCTTAGAGGAACCCTTAGAGGAACCCTTAAAGGAACCCTTAAAGGAACCCTTAAAGGAACCCTTAGAAGGAACCCTTAAAGGAACCCTTAAAGGAACCCTTAAAGGAACCCTTAAAGGAACCCTTAAAGGAACCCTTAAAGGAACCCTTAAAGGAACCCTTAAAGGAACCCTTAAAGGAACCCTTAGAGGAACCCTTAGAGGAACCCTTAAAGGAACCCTTAAAGGAACCCTTAAAGGAACCCTTAAAGGAACCCTTAAAGGAACCCTTAAAGGAACCCTTAAAGGAACCCTTAAAGGAACCCTTAAAGGAACCCTTAAAGGAACCCTTAAAGGAACCCTTAAAGGAACCCTCAGGAACCCTTAAAGGAACCCTTAAAGGAACCCTTAAAGGAACCCTTAAAGGAACCCTTAAAGGAACCTTTAGAGGAACCCTTAAAGGAACCCTTAAAGGAACCCTTAAAGGAACCCTTAAAGGAACCCTTAGAGGAACCCTTAAAGGAACCCTTAAAGGAACCCTACTTTTGCAACTCAACCCAGGTGCTGGCAGACCGGGAGGCCTCCGTGGGGACCTACCGCGAGTTGCTGTGCCTTCAGTTAGGGGAATAGGGGTTTAGGGTTTAGGGTTTAGGGTTAAGGGGTTTAGGGTTTAGGGTTTAGGGGTTTAGGGTTTAGGGTTTAGGGGTTTAGGGTTTAGGGGTTTATAGGCTCAAAAGGATCGGAGCGCTTTTCGGGTGTAAGGTTTAGGGTTCAGGGTTTAGGGTTTAGGATGGTTCTACGAGGGTTTCTGGGCTCCTTTCAAGGTTCCTTCAAAGGGCTCGAACAAGGATTGGGGTTTAGGCTTTATAAGTGGAGTGGCGCCCCTTTCAAGGGTTCTATACGGATCTGTGGGCTCCTGTGAGGTTTTGGGGCTTAGAGTCCCTATACCCTAAACCCTAAATCCTAAACCCTAAACCCTAAATCCTAAACTGCCGAGAGCGCCGCTGACCATTTGCATGGGCGCTCGAGGCTCCGACCGAGGCCCCCGGCCGAGCGTCCCGACAAGACGGTGAGGGAGGGTAAAGCCTCCCGGTATACGGGGACGGAAATGACTCGGCTACGCCTCACACAATACGGACGTCAGTCCGTTATAATGAGGACCCCAAATCCCTCACCATTGGCGTGTTTTTGGTCTGGCTGTGGGGTCTGGGGGGTACCCCCAGGGGGGGTCCTGGCCTGCCCTGCCTGCCCTGCCCTCCCGCCCTGCCCTACCCTGCCTCTCCTGCCCTGCCCGCCCTCTTGCCGCCTTGTTCACACTTCGAGCAGCCCTTACAGGGCGCGAGACCCAAGTTGTTTGTTGGAAACCCTTGCTTTTCGTCGAGCGGCCGGCACAGGCCGCGAGGACCCACAACCCGACAGCAATCCATTTCGGTTGTGATTTCTGGAGATATATTGTTGTTTACATGTCAAGCTGCGAAAGGAAGCAGAGAGCAAGAAAGCCCCCCTTGAGGGGGGTTTGGGGGGTGAACCCTAAACCCTAATTGAGAATAGTTGGGGTGGTTGGGGCGGGACTACATGCTGACGCAAGCGCGCGATTAGTGGGTGCGCCCCCTATTCCTAAAGTAAAAGGCGCACCCACCGCGCGCATACTGTTACACACCCTAAACCCTAAATCCTAAACCCTAAACCCTAAATCCTAAACCCTAAACCCTAAATCCTAAACCCTAAACCCTAAAATGCCATTTTGACTTAAGTTCCAAGCCCTGAACCCTCAACCGTGAGGTTTGTGGTCTTCGACGAGGAGTGTGTCTATCCAGAGTACATCATGATCTACGATCGGGAGATCTGAGTGAGGTCGCTGCACTTTGGGTTTCAACATTTAGGGTTTTGGGTTTAGGATTTTCCCGATCTTCTTGGGAAGGACTCTTGCAAAGAGTGAAGACGTCAGCATTCCTGACTCGAAGTGTGGCTCGAACACGCCACGCTTCTTGGGGCGCCTAATTTACGTCTTACCGGTTGCTGTCCAAGCTTACGTTTGGATGTTCAACAATGGATTTTGCTTGTCAAGCTGGCCGAGCAGTCTTGCAAAGCAGGGCAGATGCACAACCTGAGTTGGCACATGCTCGACCAGCACATGCCTGAATCGCCAAGCCCAACTCCCAAACATGAGTATTAGCATTAGTAAGGCTCTTAGTATTCCTGCCAGGTTTTGTCTGAGTTTTTTTGCCAGTATTTGTCATGTTATGAATGCCTACTAGTACACCAGCATGTATCTTGGCATTAGTTGTCTTCGTCGTACCAGTACTAGTAACGGGACCAGTATTTGCCTCAAGTGCATGAACCTTTGGCGAACTTTGGGGTGAAGTGCAGGCAGAAGCAGACACTTACCAATATTATTCTCAGGGTTCCTCATTATACTTATACTCTATACAAGCCCAACCCAACAGCCTATTCCAATTGTCAAGGCCCCTACAGTGGCCCTGAACCCTGAACAATTATAGTAGAATCCGGAAAGTTGGAACATCAGTATTCTCATGCCCCGAAGGCAAAGTATAGGGAGTCCCAGCACGAATCATCCTTAAACCATGCCACAACTTCTGGGAAACATTATCGGAGCAGATAAGTACCAACATTGTTGTTAGGGTTCCTTATCATACACTGAACATCCTTAAACCCTAAACCGTACTTATACTATAAAGGAGCCCAGCCCAAACGCTTATTTCCATTGTTGAGGCCCCTCCCTAAAGTAACACCGAGCCCCCATCCCTAAACCCTAAAACCCTACATAAACCCTGTAGATCCCGTATAGAATCCTTACGGAACCCTTTAAAGGAACCTCTATAGATCCCTTTAAGGGAACCCTAGAACCCCGAAGCTTTGGGCTTCACAGTTCAGGAGGTAAAAGACTGGAGTCAGCCGAAAGAGTCGCCAACAAAAACCCCAAAACCCTAAACCCCCAAACCCCCAAACACCCTAAACCCGTAGGTTAAAAGGCCGCCATTGTAGGTTAAAAAAAAACCCCTAAACCCTGAACCCTTCCTGCCTTTCATCGGTTGCCCGCCAAAACTTGGCAGGCGCCTCAAAAGAGGGACACCGCTGCAGGGTAAGAAAAACCGGTATGGTCATCTACCACTCAAGATAGGGGGTTTATAGGGTTTGGGGTTTGGAATTTAGGGTTTGGGGTTTATGGTTCAGGGGTATCTACGACTCAAGATGGGGTTTGTGGCGTTGAGGTGAGCGGTTTCAGGTTTGAGACTTTGGGACCTTGGGTTCAAGATATGCGGCTTCAGCAATGCTTGTTTGACAACGGATGTTTTTAGGGTTTGGGGTTTAGGGATTACGGTTTAGGGTTTAGGGTTTACGGCTTAGGGCTTAGGGTTTAGGGTTTAGGGGAGATACCATGGCTAAGGTGCAATCGCATGAACTATGTCTATGTGTCACCTGATGTGTTCAGCAGCAATTAGTGAACCACCGATGAGGCCTTGCGGGATAGATGAGACTTATCAGAGGATGTTAAAGATCATGTATAGTAGCCCTTTTAGACCCCATTGAAGGAACCCCTAACACTTTTTATTAAGGCCTCTACATTACTATGTGCAACTTCTTGTCTTCGAGTTAGACCCTAAACCCTAAACCCTTAGCCCTAAACCCTAAACCGGCTCGGCTCGCGCTCAGCCGGATACGAAACCTTCGACCTCAAAAGCCTCCTCCACTAGCATATGGCAGTTTCCGACCCAAAGACCTCACCATAGACCCTTAAATGTTCAAAATGCGCCGTACTACTCAAAATGGGGTTTGGGGGGTATCTTATGATATATGGGAGTTTCCGAAACTAGGGGACCCTAGTATAGTACCCTAAACAGTAGGATCCCCCTATTTTTCGGAAACTCCCATATTCCACCCTTCTGGTCTAGTATTCTGGTATTTTTGCATTCTAGTACTACTGTCAGTAAGGCTCAATACAACATGTCGAATAGAGAGCTGAATAATTTCGAGCAAAATCGAGCATCATCTTTATTGCTCTTCCTTCTGTTGCTATTATCACATGTATTGCAGCTTATTGCTGTTATTGTTCTCATTACTATCACTATGTTTTAGTGTTATTACTATCACCACTTTTTCCTCGTTTTGTATTGCTAGAGCCCCCGACCTGGAACCGAGATCTGGAGCAGCCAAAGCCCCGAAGAGTAGAACCGTCAACTCGACCATCCCAAGCCCCGAAGTGAACGGGGTGTCTTTACAGGGTTCTATAAGGGTTCTAGGGTTTTCGATGGTTCTAGGTAGAGTAGGGGCCTTCAACGGTAGGATAGATGTGTATGGTCTACACTAAACGTTGTAAGGAACCATAAAGATCCTCAGTCAGGCCCCGTTGATATTCAAACTATACCTGCCGAATCCTTGTGCAACGCAGGACCCTATATTAAGCCCGAACCCAAACCCTGAACCCAAAATAAAAAGCCGTATGGAACGCTTATGAACTTAAACCCGGGTAGGACCCTTGCACAACAAAAGCCCTCGTAGAACCGCCAATATACGACCATACTAGAAAGCCGCGTGAAACCCGTATGAGACCTTGTATTCACAACTCTTGATACAAGCCCATGTCAGAAGCCTTTATATAAACTTTATACATTCTTTATCCTTACGGAACCATGTCTAGAAACCCTCGAAGAAGCCCTGCATAAAAACCCTCATAGCAACTCGTACAATACACCCAACGGGAAGCCTTTAGCCCGCAAGCCCTAAACCTGCTGCTGAAGAAGGAACCGGCTCCCAACCCTGAACCCTGAACCCTAAAGCCTAAGTAAATCCGAAACCATAAAGCTTAAAACCTAAAGCATAAATCATAAACCCTCAACCCGACACCCTCAACCCGACACCCTAAATCCCAAACCCTTAAACCATAAAACCCTATATAAACCCTGTAGATCCCTGATAGAACCCTTCTGGATCCCCTTACAGGTACCCCTACTAGATCCCTTTAAGGGAAACCCTAAACCCTAAACCCCTAAACCCCCCTAAACCCTAAACCCTAAAACCCTAAACCCTAAACCCTAAACCCTAAAACCCTAAACCCCCCTAAACCCTAAACTCTAAACCCTAAAACCCTAAAACCTAGAAATCCAAAAGCCGACGTTTGGAGGCGTTTGACCCGCGGATGAAGAGCTGGATGCCCCTCGAGTCGATGGGGGCTCCGAGACAGCAGTCTGATATCTCTTAGGGTTTTAGGGTTTAGGGTTTAGGGTGTTAGGGTGTCTAGAGTGTTAGGGTTCTAGGGTTTTAGGGTGTAGGGTTTTACGGTTTTAGGGTTTAGGGTTTAGGGTTTAGGGTTGTAGGGTTTTAGGGTTTAGGGCTTTAGGGTTCCCTAAAAGGGATCTATAGGGGTTCCTTTTTTGGGATCCATGAGGGTTCTGGAAGGGATCTATAGGGTTTTAGGTGGGGTTTCAGGGTTTAGGGGTTTAGGGCTTCAGCTTTAGCGTTGGGGGGTTTAGGGCCTTAGGGGTACTTAAAGGATCATGGGGCTTAATAACTAGGGTTAAGATACTTATAAGCTTACTTACTAAGTCCCATGATCCTCCAAGTAGGTTTTCATGGTTTCAGGCTTAAGGGCTTGACGGGTTTCAGGGCTTCGTGTTCAGGTTTTGTTTATAACCCAGGTTTTTTGGGTGAAGGGTTTAGGGCGATGGGTCAATGTAATCTTGATGTTGGGGTTTTGGGTGTGTGGGCTTGAATCCGCAAGAACCCAACCGGCCGGGCAAGTCGATACTTGGGAGGATCATGGGACTTAGTAAGTATGGTTATAAGTACCTTAAGAGGGGTTACAAGTAATTTTAAGCATAGTTACCTGAATTATAACCCTAGTTACTAAGTCCCATGATCCTCTAAGTACCCTACCTGAAGATAATCGAGCTTCCCCCATAGGGTTTGGGTTGCAGGGTTTAGGGTTTGGGGAGCCGTAAGCCCAAATTAGAATGCCCAGGCAACTCCCGAAACCTCGAGGGCAAATCCCCCAGGATAGCAGGCATACACATCTTGACGACGAGCGACTGCTAAGCCATAGCCAATGATCATCAAGCAGATAAGTTAAATTCATCCGGAAGTTTGTGTAGCCCTTTGCAGCATCAAAGGCCACATCAAGACACGAGAGACGAGAAGCACAAGAGATGTAATCGAACAGCCTCTCCCCCTAAACCCAACACCCTCAACCCCAAACCCTAAATCCAAAACTCTCAACCCTACACCCGAAACCCTCAGCCCTACACCCCAGACCCTAAACTCTCAGCCCTGCACCCCAAACCCTAAACCCTTAGCCCTGGACCCCAAACCCTAAACCCTACACCCTAGACCCTAAACCCTCAAACTAAGACCACAAGACCCGCTGGTGCTTAGTAGGGAATGGGGGGATGGACTCCTTTTGTAGTCCCAGTATAATTCCCAGTAATCGTCTCCATGATCCATTCCCCCATTCCCTACTAAGAACCAGACGGAAGAAGATTTAAACACTCTTATAGATCCCTTATACATCCCTGATAGAAACCCTTGTGGATCCCTTTTGAAACCGCAAACCCTGAACCCTCAAACTAACACCACAAGAAGTGCTAAACCCTAAACCCTATACCCTAAAACCCGAAACCCTACAGTAAACCCTAAAAACCTAAAACCCTGAACCCTAAACCCTAAAACCTGAACCCTACGGAAGAAGCCCGAAAGGTTCCGAGGTCCTCCGCATCTGCTGCTGCCATGGGAGGTCAGCTCTGGGCGCGAGCCCCAAGGAAAGCTGCGGGGTTTTGAGGGCTCCTTTAAGGGATCTACAGGGGGTACCTTTAAAGGAATCCATAAGGGTTTTAT